AAAAGTTGTATGTATGGCTAGTTGTACTCTCATTAGTTAAATAATCAGAGAGCTTAAATAGGTAATCTCCTAGTTAGGTTGCAGGCATGGTGGCTAGTATAGAACCCAGGCGGACTACTTAAATTAGGTACCAAAAAGTACACGTGTGGCTAGTTGTATCTTCATGAAATTGATATAATATTGTAATTATCTGAATAAAGCTAAGTGCTGAGGGACCTAAGTGGTCACCTTAATATAAAAAAAAAAAAAAAAAAAATAATATATTTTTCTTTTTAAACCCAATTCCAATAATATTGATATATAATATATGTATCTAAATATAAACTTAATTTATTAAAAAGCAAAAGATAGAAATATAATAAAAAAAATCAAGTATCACAGAAATAAAGTTGTTACCTACCCATTAATTGTCCAATGCATCAATTTCATTTAAAATTGTATCTGGTACACGGTGATGCGACTAATATTTTTTTACAGCATATTCTGCAGGTTTTTCTGTTAAACCTTTGTGATATACATCCATATATCTAAAAGACTTCCAGGCATATCGTCTAATTTCAGTGAGAGGCACTGATTCAAGAGCTTGTGGCACAGTTCTTTTCAAACCTTCCCATGTATAGTTATAGTAATTGTGTGTATATCGCTTTGCTAACCCCCCAAAATTTTCTATATAATTTAACTCACAATGAAACTTTGAATAAAAAATAACTTCATAACCTGCAGAAATAATTGCTTCTTCAACTTTTCCACGTTGTGCTCTAAAAATCTGGTTGGTTTGCCATTGTTGTTCTAGTACAGCAATCAGTTCTTCCTTGTTCACACCCTTTTTTACATATCAATCTTATTCCATCATGCCACAATCCTCTCTCACTTAATACTTGCTTTAGGCCCTTAGGTTTACCACAAAGATTAGGGTTTTCATAATCTTCAGGAAAGCATATGTCTTGTGGGATATTATCTCCATATATAGTACTTCTATTGTTTGATAATATTTAATGTTAATATATTGTTATAAAAATTTAAAATATTTATAATAATGTACAAACCTCATTTTTGGCTGTTTTCCACCAGGAGATAAATTCATGTTTTTTGCTAGAAGGGCATTTTTAGCATATGCACAATGACTAGTTGCATTATCAAACACAAAAAGTGCCTTTGCACTTGGAAACTGAGCTTCAAATATTGGGATTGCACAGTTTATCACCTGATCTACAAGATCATCTGAATTCTACCATCCATCACCATCTTTACTTGGGTAAGTTATGACACATGCTTCTAATGAAAAGTTAGAAAAAGCAATCTAAAAAATTTTAATTAGGTCTTTCTAATTATAAAAATAATGAATAAATAAAATATTGCATATATATCTTGTCTTCTTCATATAATGCTAAATGCCCACCAATATCAGTGAGAAATTCACTTATATGAACTGACCACCCTTGGCCTTTTTTGCGAAGTGGTTGCTCTCCTTTTGGCAACCACGGCCAATGTCTTCTATTATAGGCTGAAAAAATACACTCATCATGTGTTACCAAAATGATAATATTATCAAAATCTGGTCTAGTCTCTTTTTCCATATTTTCACCAGAGAAAACTACCATACATGCTTCAAATTTTGCTATTTTTTTCAAAAACTTTTCACGATAAGCCATCACATCTGCACGCTCATGCCCATCTATACACATTCCTTTTCTAACTTCTGAGTACTCAAACCCAAATGTTTTTAGCCACTTTCTTGCTGTTCTCATGCATATAGTTGGTGATGGAACAAAGCATAGTTTTGGAAGTATTTGGAGAGGAGTTAATAAAAAAGTGACAAATTTTTTCCAAGTAAAAGTTTTCTTGACTTTAAGCTTAAATATCTTAGCAATTATCTTATTAAATTTAATAA